TCGTTGCTGCAAAATGAAAAAAATGGAGCATATTAAAAAAAAAAAATGGAGTCAGTTTAATAAATGATTTTTAGAAAATAAGTTTTTCATACTTTAAGTCGTTGATCTTAATTAAAAAACAAGTTTATGACAGTGACGAACAACTGGCTTCAGTTCATTAAATCTGCTGTGGATGTTCCCGAGTCCGAAATGGTTGAGTCTTAATGGTTTTGGTGAACCCATGACCATGACTCTAGTGTTGGGACAAAATGTCATTTCCCTGTGAAGTCGTTAAGCCAAGGCAGCAAGCCACCCTGATCTGTATGCATTTGAGGCCGTATCTAATTAAAGTTTTTTCTCGATTGCTTAAACACATTTCTTGAAAATTCTGCCTCTTTTTCTCAAAACTCTAAACACTAATCCACAACTTCTCACCCAATTCCCCAAACATCCTATTTTCAGGTCAAAATGAAGCTCTCGACTCAAAACCAAACTTTGCCCTCAGACATAACACGCACACTGCAGCACAGTCTGACACACTGGGGAGATAAATTCAAAACAATACTACAAAAACTGGATATTAGTGATGTTGCTTTTGATTCTCACCCTCAGAAACCTTTTCACATGATGAACAAAAGAAATAACATGCAAACATTTGCACATTTTTATTCCTTAGTGTGCTGTACAGAACAAAACACCGGCTTTGGTCTGGGACAGGCCAGAGACTCTTGTTCTCCACCTCCTCCTCCTCTCTGGTGTCCTGCACCTCCTCCTTCAGATTTCTCTGGATCCATTGTTCCCAAACTGAATGAACTGACTCTGGTCCTTTTATCTATTGAGCTTCTGATTGGCGTGTTATCAGTTATGACTCTTTGTGTTTCCACTAATTGAGTGTAATTGAAGGGATTTGGGTGTAGAGTTTAGAGAAATGGGGTTTTAAAATTTTAGTTCAGAGGCCTGATTATAGTGTTTAAGCAATGGAGAAAAACTGTAAATATACGCTCATTTGCATATATTTCAAGACCAGAAATCTGAACACTAGATTAACACAGGTTCAAAATTATTGTTTTATTTTATTGACATATTAGACTCAAATGTTTTTACAGAGGGAATTTTGGATATCCCTTTTTATTTGCAAAAAAAAAAAATTCGAATTTCCGCCAAGTTTTTGGGTGTAAAATATTCTATAATTCAGCCTATGAATGATATTTGAACAAACCCCTCTGTAAAAACTTTCAGAATATAGTCAGGAGGACAACTGGAAAGTTTGGTGTCTGTAAGAGCTGCCGAAGTGGAGATTTTATTCTCAGAGTTAGAGGAAAAACTAATTTAAAGAGCCTTTAAATATATGTATTGTAAAATTCCATATAATTTTTCTTGAAAATCAATATTTACAGACCCAATATCTAATCAGATACTAAACAAGAACAATATATAACATCTATAAGTCTGAAAGAAGACATGTTATGGAAAAAAATAACCAAAAGTCCAAAGTCGACATGATGATGATAAAACCATGTTTATGTCGGCTGTGTCTCTTCTTACATCGTCAATAAAATCACTCAAGCATCCCAAAAAAAAAATTTATAAAACGTTACTAACTACAACTTGTAACCAGGATTATGAGCTTACACTTAAAATTCCAAGTTATTCACATCAAATAAAAACATAAAGGGGCCCAAAACATTTCCCTGTGGGACTCCACGTCACACGTCGACTTCCGGATGAATTACCTTGAACTCTGTGAGATTAAACATGAGGCAACACTGATGGATACAAATCCATTTCAAACAAACTGATGACCAAAGCAGCGTCATTCTCATTAAATATAAAGGTGTATTATTTTTTACTTTGTTAGTGTGGTCTGTGTTTCAGGCGAGGTGGCTTGTCTCCGCCCTGAAACATTTGTGTGTGTGGGGGTTGTGTCTGTTTAGGTCTTTACACAGCCTTTCCTTTAGCGCCTGTATTTGGATACACAAATTATGATCTATGGACACCAGACAAATAATGGCCGAGCTGCCGTGACCTTTACTGAATATATTAATGCTGTTTCAGAGGAAGAATTATATGATTTCGCAGCTTTCATTACACAGAAGTTATTCAGTTAGTTATTCATTCTGTCCGACTTTCGTGTGTGCTGAATGTAAAGATCATTCTAGCCCGTAGGGGTCGTTATAGGTGCTTTAACTGCTATGTCATCTCAAAATGATTCCTTTAGGTACTTTTATGTTCCTGTTAAAATCAAAATGACCTTCAGATGTCCCTTCACTCAAGAACCAGTTTTGTAATGTGTGTGTGTGAGACCTCAGCTCTGTCCAGTCCAGTATAATATGACACCAGCAGCAGAGCAGAGGTAAAAGCTTCATGGATTTAGGAACAATAATCCATTTTGCTGCAATGCCACTGCAATGCAACACCCTTTGTCTTGTTCGGGGATGCTCCCCGAGTGTGTGTGTTCGTGTGTGAGTGGACGGACAAATATTTGAGGAGGACGGCTAAAAGGGCGATAGTCTCATCTCCTGTCAGAGGTTGAATGATGGAAAGAAGGAAAAGGACAGAGAGAACCAGAACCAGCTGAGCCGGCTCGCTTTGTCTCGTTTTAACCTTTGCTGTTTGTCCATTAGTGTAAATATAACCGATATGAAGAAATCACCTCTGTGTTGTGTGTGCGTGTGAGTTTGCAGCTTTAGCTCTCACCTCATCTGACCTCCACTGAGAGGCTGGTGTGTTTGCTGGAGTTGGACACCAAACCAGAGCTACCCTACCAGTCAAAAGTTTCATAACTCACCCATTTTTCTAGTGTGTATGTAAATATAAGCAGTTCAAACCTTAAATGGTACAAAAGTAAGCAGCAAAGTTAAAAAACGACGTTTATTTCACGAAAAACAGACATTTTCAGATCTAAAATGAACAATTAAATAAAGGACTTTTGTTCATTATTTCACTGTAGGATCAACCGATGACCAGCTGCTCTGTCGTCCTTCATTACATTTACATATAATATTTATTCTATAGTCAAAATAAAGCTTCTGAGGGTGTATTAACATGCTGTTCCGAGGTGTTTACTGTAGAAATGTGTTTCATTTCCTTCCACTGCTGCAGAATAACTTGAAGCTCATTACGTGATCCCTGAAAATTGTTTATCTCTTAAATTTACATTATTTCTCAGTTTTGCTGACCTAAACTTTGTCTTTACCTTTTTTTTGTTTATTCTGCAGCAGTGAAAGGAAATGAAACACATTTCTACAGTAAACACCTTGGAACAGTGAAAGTTTAAGAAACCAGATGGTTAATTGTGGTTTAAAACTTTTCTTTATGTTCAGAACAAGCACTTGATGCCAAACAGTGGATCACTTGACAGATATGAGGCAGAACATTCAGAACTGTTATGATAAAATCTTTTTTCAACAAATATGCACGACTAAAATTAAGTAAAATCTTTTTTCAGTCCCTTTTAATCAACAAAATAAATATCCTGATAGAAAAAGTAAGTGCTAATTTGTTCGCGATTTAAGTTAATTAAATCAAAAATGTATTGAACATTTATTAAACATTTTATCTTGTCATTGAGTAAAATTATATCGCGATAATTATGATTATTATTTTATTGCCCAGCCCTATATTATATATAATATTTATGAAGGATGAGAGAGCAGGTGATCCTACAGTGAAATAAAGAACAAATGTCATTCATTTAATTGTTCATTTTATGTCGGAAAATGTCTGTTTTGGTGACATAAACCTTGTTTTTAACTTTGTTTGCTGCTTACTTTGGTACCATGTGAGGCTGCTTACAGGAGGGAAAAACCTGGATGGAGTTAAAGTTCCTCACTCTGAATTAAAATAAAACTGGGTGACCCTCTTGGCACTTTGGGCCCTTTAGCCTCCCAAAATCGATCCTCTATTAAAAATCTTGGCGTTATTTTTGACACCTCGTTCACTTTCAATAAGCAAATCAGTGCAGTCGTCAAGACCGGCTTCTTCCAGTTAAGACTTAAAGCTTTAGCTAAAATAAAGGCCTGTCTTCCTCCCAAAGACCTTGAAAAGGTCATCCATGCTGCTCGGCTGGATTATTGTAATTCATTATACATGGGTCTAAATCAGAAATCTTTAAATCGCCTCCAGTTAGTCCAAAACGCAGCTGCTCGCCTTTGAACTAAAACAAAAAAGCGTGAACACATTACGCCATCTTGGCCTCCCCCCCACTGGCTACCTGTCCGTCATTGGATAGATTTCCAGATTTTACTGCTTGTTTTTAAGGCCCTAAATGGTCTGGCGCCACCATTCTCCAGTCAGAACACTGAGGTCAACAAATCAGCTGTTCTCGGATGTCGTGAGATCAAAGCTAAAAAGTAAGGGCGATAGAGCCTTTGCAGTGGGCGCCACCATCCTTTGGAACAGCCTCCCCGTGCATATTAAAGCTGCACAGACCCCACAAACGTTTAAATCGCTGCTTAAGACGCACCTTTTTGCAGTAGCTTTTAACCTTCGCTAACCAGGTTTCTGATGTTTTAAAGTGGTGTTGTTTTGTTTCCCCGTGATTCACTCTGGTTGTAGTAATTTTTACACTTGTTATTTATGTATTTGACATCGACCCTGTTCAGTACTTTGGTCAACTGTTGTTGTTTTTAAATGTGCTATAGAAATAAAATTGACATTGACAGGTTTTTTAACTGAACTACTTACATTTACATACAACCTAGAAATATGGGGGTGTTTTCATACTTTTGTTCAGTAGTGTAATATATGAAGGATCAAATGGAAACCAGCTGGTAGGTCTTCAGCCTGGTCCCGCAGCTCCGTTCCTATGGTAGATCCATCTTACGCTTGTGAACGAGACCCCAACAGACCCCTTCACTTTGGTCACCAACAGACTCCCAAACTGGCGTGAGCCAGTGCACCAAATGTGCAACAAAGCAGAAACGAAACTCCGCTGTGAACGTTTTTAAAATCAGGTTATATTGCTAACATGCAGCTAAATGCTAATAAAATGATATCATATAATGTCTCTCTGATTCCAGCTCCATGGACCAATCATCATGAGACTCTGCAGCACTCCCCTTTCCTTGCTCCTCCCCGTCCTACAGTCCCCGCCGCTCCATCTGCGCCATCGCTGCTGCCTGTCAACGCTATTAGCCAACTGCAGCACGGCATCATGCAGACGGCTCAGCACAGATGTCCACGCCTCTCAGCCTGTGATTGGTCAGGACTCGGTGGAGGTGTTGGGCCACACCTACCCCCGTGATGACTACACCAACGTCACGCAAAAGATCTTGGCCAAGGTCGGCCGCAACCTCCACAACCAATCGCATCACCCTCTGTGGCTGATGAAGGAGCGAATCAAAGCTCACTTCTACAGGTAAGTCCTCCCCACGGTTCGAGCTCACTGGTACTGCGCAGAGGATGATCCATTTAGATTTTAATGAGCCTACCTTTCCTCTCGTGCCGCCTCACTTTACATTTTAATCTCCACTGCTGGTAAATCTTTAAGGAACAGATAAATGATCAGGATGTTCTTCGTTGTCCATCCAGCTCTCTCTTCTTGTGGCTGTAATGAACATCGCAGCCTCTAGAGGACGCTGCTGGGGAATTAGACATTAAGTTTTCTTTCTTCATCTTTCAGTTACTCTTTTAAAGTTCCCATGAAACGGAAACCGGATTGCTATTTGCTTCCGCATATTTACGTGTATCCTGTTAAAACACAAAGCTAGGGAGTGACTTGTCGCAAATATTGATTGGCGTTTTCAGTAGCCAGTAGCGCTGAATGTGCCCCCGCCCCGTCTTGCAGACTCTGTGCGGTCTAGTTCCAGCTCCCGCCGAGTGAACACGGCAGCTGGGACCAAACCATAGGACCAAACGCATCATCCGAGACCGACAAAGGCCAGTTTGACGAAAGGGAATCTTGCCGGGTTTGAGTCTTGGAATCCCAGGACTGGAGTCAGCTAAGGACCGCTAGCAACCCGGCTAATATTAACCGAGCTAACTAGCTACAGATGCAGACAGATAGTTAGCAGCATTTAACGGTTTAGCAAAAACTAAAGCTATCTGTCCATCCTGAAGCTCTATAACGTCAAATCCCCTCGGTCCCTGTTGGTGTTCAGGCTGTGTTCACTGGGAGGCCGCTAAACGGGGTGTCATTGCCCACTCGCACCAGCTCTGGCGCCTGTTCCGGAGCCGCTAACGTTAACGTTACCCGCCATCACTCCCTGTTGGGTTCCCCTGCCCCTGGCCTGAAAACCTCCATGGCCCAGCTCTCCAAGCTCCCCGTCCAGGCAGAGCCTAATATGACAGCTAACTGAGCTAACTAACAGCAGCTAGTAGCAGCAGTTAGCTTTAGCAACAAGTAAAGCTATCTGTTCATCAGCAAACTCCGTAAATCACAGATAGCTGAGGCAGGGCAGCCGGAGGAAATCAGAGGGAGAACCAGAAAATATTGTTCCCCATCGAATATGATCCCGTTTCACCAAAATCAATTATTAAAGATACATTTTTGTTTTTGTACAGTAATCAGTGAGGTCTGGTCGGCCCCCAGAAACACTGCACTCCGGTGCAGTCGTAAAAATGATAAAGCTTTTCATTGGACACAGAATTAAAACACACCCCCGAGTGCAGGATGGGTCATCAACATTTCAAACTCGTCAAACTCTAAAATACCATGAAGAATACCAACAAAACAACATTTGTATCACTGTTGGGTCAGATGCTGGTGTATTGGTGACATATAGTGCAAAGCATATGCAATAAACATTGATTTTGATTTCAAGGGGACTTTAAAGAGATTTAAATTTAGACACCCGTACATCAAAATAAAGCGTGTTTCACATCTTGCCATTTCAGTTCACATTTAAATCTTTCTTTAACCCATGATGACCTGTCATCGTGCACATGGGACAAAATAAATAGTGTAATCGATATTGATAACGTAATTTATTTTTAGCCACGCTTTTAGGTTGGTGTTGGTTGGGCCACCATTTGGTTCCAACACATTCTGACTCCCAACTCATCACAAACGGATGCTTGGTCAAGACCGCTTGTGGTGGCTTTTTTACGCCCTGGGTATCCTTCGGTGTTTAGTTTTTGGACGTGTAGGGCTTTGCGGTCAAGTTAGCAAAAATATATATGCAACGTCCAGTTAGACTTTTAAAGTAAAACTAGTTAACCATGTGAAATGAAATTCAGTTTGGTTTAGGCACCAAAACTACTTGTTTGGGTTTAGGAAAACATCTTAAAACAATCAATGATGACTTTTAGTTTTACACGGGACGAACGCCGGCCTCCTGAGCGAAAGTCTGGTTTCCGGTCCGCCTCAATCACCTCCTTACTCTTAAATATCCTACACCTACCTTTAGCGTTCAAAAGTGACGCTACAGGGCTTCCTCCAGTGCGTTACAAACCGCTGCCAACGGGTCTTGACCACATGTCCACATGTGACGACTTTGGAGGTAAAACGGGTTGATGGTTCAGACTGAAATATCTCAACCTCTGGAACTTCTGGATAGATTGGCTCAAAATTTGGTATATTAACGGTTCTCAGATGATTGACGCTAATGGCTTTGGTTATCATTTGACTTTTCCTCTGGCGCCACCAGCAGGTGAAAATTTTCACCTGTCGAATACTTTGGTTTATGACCAAAACCCAGCAGAACAAATGACATCATCCTCCGCACTCTGGGTTTTGTGCTAATTAGCTAATGTTAACATGCTAAGATGGTGAACATGGTAAACACTGTACTGCTAAATACCAGCATGTTAGCATTGTCACTGTGAGTATGTTGCACAGCCTCACAGACTCTGTCAGCTCTGCAGAGAGCTGGATGTGCCAAAGTAAAAACGTTCTATTGTTGGGAAAGTTTAACTTCATATGTGAATCTTCACACTTCAGGTGTGAATGTTCACACTGTTTAAATGTCCTCTCTGTGTCCTGCGTACTGTCCAACACATCTCAACATGTCCTCGGCTTCCACATCCAAATATTCCCAGTTTGTCCTTAAAATCTGCTGCTCTCCCCATCAGATGCTGTTGTATCTGCACATGTCGTGTATATATATATATATATATATATATTTCTGTGTTCTTTATTTTCAGAGCATAAACTGCTGACTGACTCTCCGCAGGCTCAATGTGTCTTCGGGGACAGTCGAGTGTAAAAGTTTGCTGCACTGCACACAGCAGTGATATATATCGTCAGGCTGCTGGTTAATCTTCACCCGCTGTATGAAAAACCAACACACACAGAGCAGCGGGCGCATTAATACTGCATTAATAAGTCATTAAGAAGTCAGAGTGTGTTGTCTGACAGTGGTTTATGACTCTGCCATTTCACAGGTCGTGAACTTTACTCTTTAGAAAAGCCTGTGTGCTCTGATGGCAGCGGGACAGCAGACTCCGGGGTGAGCTGCTGGGTAGTTTTCAAACAAGACCAAAACTTGATCAACAACTTTACTTTGATGCTGCTTCCTTTCTTCTCCCTCTTTGCGTTTTACTCACTTCTTCTCTTTCTGACTGATTTTAATGAATCCTTCGTCTTGAGTAGTAGTAGTAGTAATTCTGCAGTGTTGTTTAGATGGTACATGTTGGTGTTCTGCTCAGTAGGTGTACTTCTGGGATACCGTAAAACTCTCGTTTACTGGCCTGGTGTGGCTACACATTTGGACAAGGTCTCAATTAGAAGCCTGGGGCCGTATTACAGGAAGTTCCTACCTTAAGTCTAAAGTTAAGACAGGAAGAGTCTAAGATAGGATTTTCCTCAATTTGGTAATACAGAAGCAAATCCTAACTTTAGGAATCCTGTCTTATCTCACGTTAGGAAATCCTCAACACTCAATCCAACATCGGTGATCAACTTTTATGTCTGATGCCACTTTACTCATCTCGCCGAGCTAAACGGCTTTTAATCGCTGGTTTTTGGTAGTTTTTTTAATGAAACATAAACTGAAAATGGAGCAGAAACAACAACTATCATTGAACTTCAAGTCAGATGACTCAGACGTGTTGGTAACCTGCGTCGAGAAATCCAAATGCACGTAACGCTTAACTCGGGAGATTAAAGACTGAGAGTGGGCCAAAATAGCGGACGCAGTCTCCTCCGCATATCCGGCATCCAGCGGAGTGCTGATGCTGTCAAAAAGAAAATAAGTCCATTTACAAGTGATACAAAGAGAAAGACAACTGATCCGAAACCGCTGGTGGCTCCTCCTGTGCTCCCTCACGGACCCCGGCAGAAACCCGAACTCTTCTCGGGAAAGTTAATAATGAAGGTAAAAAAAAAGGCTAATAATAATACCTTTTTTTTTTCGCAATATCACCATCAAATAAATGTCACACATATGGTTGAATATTGTTACGAAACACATTCTGCAAGTTTTGTAACGATTGGACGAGCATTTATTGACCTATATCTTGATTTGTTTCATTCCACATCCAATTATTATGCATTTATAGCGCCTCCTAGTGGTCAATTTGAATGAGACTTGCAGTGTATGTGTGAGGTGCTTATCTAGACATATCCTGCAAGTTTTGTGTTGATTGGACCAACAATTTGTATTTTGTAGCGTGTTTTGCGTTTTATCCCCTGCAGTTTGTTTGCATTTATAGCGCCCCCGGGTGTTTGATTTGAATGAAACTATCAGGGCATGTTTCATTTACTTATGAGGACACATCCTGAGAGATTTGTGATGATTGGAGAATGAATATGGGATTTATAGTGTAATTTGTGTAATGCTAAGCACCTTTCTTGCGCTTGTAGCGCCCCCTAGTGACATATGTACATCAAACTGTCATATAGGGCACCTATCTGAACATATCCTGTGAGTTTTGTGATGATCGGCCCTACGGTTGCTGATTTGTGGTCATTTATGTCCAGAGCCACGCCCCTTTCGAAGTTCATTGGTCCATATCTTGAAAAGTAATTGAGATATCGACATGCTTTATACAACTTTTAATAGGCTTGATCCAATGATGATTCACTGAAAGTTCAACAAATAATAAACATAGAAGGGTTCATCCCTAATGAGCAGGCTGACGTAAAGATCTCCTCCTATCAAAGACTTGCATGAGGATCCTTTTGTTACATCAAGCCTTTACATCATGTGACATAACGAGACATTATCCAGCGTCACGTCGCCTACAGCCTTTCTACTAACAAGGGTTTGGTCATCAAACACATTGGTGGAATCAATAAAGTTCGGCCTGTTGACATTTTGTGGATTTTGTAAAAGCAATAAAAGAGCAGCCATGTGGATTAAACGAGTTAGCAAACACTAACTGGTGGAAAAGTAAAAGTTAGGAGAGTTTATTTAAGATTTTACGATAAGTTAGGAAGCTTCTGTAAAACACTTCTCCTATCTAAAGTTAGGGAAGGAGCATTGACTCAGGAACTGCTAATCTGTAATGGCCTTTTTCCTAAATCAGTTGCTAGCCCTTATTACCATGGTTACCAAGCAGTTAGGATAGGATCTGCCGGTTTCTGTAATACGGCCCCTGGTCTAGAAGCTTCTTCTCAGCTGCATAGATCGTGCATACAAACGCTGTTAATGTTAGTCCAGTGCTTTCCTCTTAGTTTCCACTCAGAGTAAATTAACGCTGTAGATTCTCTGTTTGTTGTTGTTGTTTGTTTGTTTTCAGCGTCTCCGCATCAGTAGTAATAACTGTCTCCTCCACAGCGCCCACATCAACCGCCGGGGAAACCCGCTCTTCTCTGTCCACGATAACCTCAGCCCCGTGGTCACTGTGGAGCAAAACTTTGACAGGTCAGCAGCATCGTCGCTTATTGATCGATTTACCAGTGAGCAGCTCTTAACTTACAGCTTTTAAAGAGAAATAGGTGCTGTCAAAGTTGTGTTTACAGAGGAAGTGAGATAATTAGCAAGAAGGATTTTTAGTAAAACAGTTTTCTGCTTTCTCCACGGCTCAGCTGTTCTTGATTTCATTTTGCCTAGCGATTCACCAACCTGACATTTTCAGTCCTGATAACGATACTGATACCTGGGATTTGGGCAAAACCTGCAGAGTTTTGATTTTAAATGCAAAACCTGCAGAGTTTTTGATTTGAAATGCAAAACCTACAGAGTTTTGATTTGAAATGCAAAACCTGCAGAGTTTTTGATTTGAAATGCAAAACCTGCAGAGTTTTGATTTGAAATGCAAAACCTGCAGAGTTTTTGATTTGAAATGCAAAACCTGCAGAGTTTTGATTTGAAATGCAAAACCTGCAGAGTTTTGATTTGAAATGCAAAACCTGCAGAGTTATGATTTGAAATGCAAAACCTGCAGAGTTTTGATTTGAAATGCAAAACCTGCAGAGTTTTGATTTGAAATGCAAAACCTGCAGAGTTATGATTTGAAATGCAAAACCTGCAGAGTTTTGATTTGAAATGCAAAACCTGCAGAGTTATGATTTGAAATGCAAAACCTGCAGAGTTTTGATTTGAAATGCAAAACCTGCAGAGTTATGATTTGAAATGCAAAACCTGCAGAGTTTTGATTTGAAATGCAAAACCTGCAGAGTTATGATTTGAAATGCAAAACCTGCAGAGTTTTTGATTTGAAATGCAAAACCTGCAGAGTTTTTGATTTGAAATGCAAAACCTGCAGAGTTTTTGATTTGAAATGCAAAACCTGCAGAGTTTTTGATTTGAAATGCAAAACCTGCAGAGTTTTTGATTTGAAATGCAAAACCTGCAGAGTTTTGATTTGAAATGCAAAACCTGCAGAGTTTTTGATTTGAAATGCAAAACCTGCAGAGTTTTTGATTTGAAATGCAAAACCTGCAGAGTTTTTGATTTGAAATGCAAAACCTGCAGAGTTTTTGATTTGAAATGCAAAACCTGCAGAGTTTTGATTTGAAATGCAAAACCTGGAGAGTTTTTGATTTGAAATGCAAAACCTGCAGAGTTTTTGATTTGAAATGCAAAACCTGGAGAGGTCACGGACGTCCGGAGAGTCATGATTTCACTGAGCATGTTGAACATGTTGAAGAGGAAACGTCAGTGAATTATTGCAGAGATCCCCAAAGTCATTCTTTTACATAATTTGATTGACAGCTTGCTGATCCCGCCCGGGCACCCCAGCAGGAAACGAGGAGATAACTACTACCTGAACAGGTGAGTGACTCGATCTGCAGCGTGGCTTTCTAGTCGGCTCTGGGGATTCATTTCCACTTTGCTAACATTCATCGCTGGCGTTTGTGTTGCAGGAAAACGATGCTTCGCGCCCACACCTCCGCCCACCAGATCGAGCTGGTGAGGGCCGGCCTGGATGCCTTCTTATTGGCTGGAGACGTTTACAGGCGGGACGAGATCGACGCCAGTCACTACCCCGTCTTCCACCAGATGGAGGGAGTCCGACTCTTCTCCGACCTGGAGGTAAAGATGTAACTATCGTACATTATTATTATATTTTATATTCTGTTTAAGGGAAAGAGACTTAAAATGATCCTGAATAGAATCCTATAGGGAACGCCTTTAACAACGACGACGGCGGTCGTATGCACATGTCCCGTCATCAAACTATTTCAGATTTTCCTGGTCATGGCGTACATGCAGTGAAAGTGATGTTACGGCGCTCTCTATTACCAGAGCTGCTTTAACTGGACTGCAGGGACTATGAGCGTTTCATGAAGCGCTGGTAGATTAAACGCTCGTGTTTCAGGAACAGTGGTGGTTGTTTTGATCCGACGCACGACACACCGTGGTGGGTTTATGGCGTCTCTAGAGCTGAATCTGAAATATGTGGTTGTGAGGTTTCAGGAGGTGCTTCAGGCGTTTCCTTTGTCTCGCAGCTTTTCTCTAAGGTGCAGAACGGCGAGGAGCTGTCTCTGTTCGAGAGAGGAGGGCGGCGGACGCCTCAGAAACAGGAAACGCACAGCCTGGAGGCCGTGAAGCTGCTGGAGTTCGACCTGAAACACACTCTGACGAGACTCGTCACGCACCTGTTCGGAGAAGGTGAGGCGGCGGCAGGCGGGAGGTTCACTTTACTGAACTCCTCCCTCCTCATCGTCTCTCTTCCTCACTCCTCCCCTCTTCACTGTTTATTTTAATGTCTCCTCTCCTTATTTTTCCTTTCCTTTCCTTGTCTCCTTTCCTTGTCTCCTCTCCTTTTCTCCTCTCCTCTCCTCTCCTCACTACTCCTTTTAATGTCGCCCATCCTCACCTTTACTTGTCTCCTCTCCTCCTCTCTCCTTGTCTCCTATACTCTTCTCACCTTTCCTTTTCTTTCCTTGTCTCCTCCTCATGTCTCCTCTTCTTGTCCCCTCTCCTACTCTTGTCTCCTCTTATCTCCTTGTCTCCTCTCACCTTTCCACGTCTCCTCTTCTTGTCCCCTCGACTTCTCTTGTCTCCTCCTCTTGTCTCCTCTTTTCTTCCCTCTCCTCCACTTGTCTCCCCTACTCACCTTTCCTTGTCTCCTCTTTTCTTCCCTCTCCTCCACTTGTCTCCCCTACTTACCTTTCCTTGTCTCCTCCTCTTGTCTCCTCATCTCCTCCTCTTGTCTCCTCTCTTCTCCCCTGTCCTCTCCTTGTCTCCTCTCCTTAAATCTTCTCCTTGTCTCTTCTCATCTCCTCTCCTCCTCTTGTCTCCCCTACTCACCTTTCCTTGTCTCCTCCTTTTGTCTCCTCTCATCTCCTCCTCTTGTCTCCTCTCTTCTCCCCTGTCCTCTCCTTGTCTCCTCTCCTTAAATCTTCTCCTTGTCTCTTCTCATCTCCTCTCCTCCTCTTGTCTCCCCTACTCACCTTTCCTTGTCTCCTCCTTTTGTCTCCTCTCCTCTCCTCCTCTTGTCTCCCCTCTCCCGTCCTTGTCTCCTCCTCTCTCCCCTCAGATCTGGAGGTGCGGTGGGTCGACTGTTACTTCCCCTTCACTCATCCCTCCTTTGAGATGGAGGTGCGTTTTCAGGGTGACTGGATGGAGGTGCTGGGCTGCGGAGTGATGGAGCAGGAGCTGCTGAACTCCGGTCAGCGCGCGCACACACACACACACACACACACACACACACACACACACAGACACAGACACACACACACACACCCTCAGATGCAATGCATGCTGGGAGTTGTATGCATGTGGCATTTGCTTTAACCGCATCACATGGTCTTCATCGGCGGGTGAGGTTTGCGTCTGCGGTGAAGAATTACATATAATGACTCATCTTAAATAATCCCGCTGTCCAAAACATGGATTTACGGTTCTGCGTGGTCATAAAAACATTTTACAAACTCCTAAATGGGACAGTGGCAGTTTGTGCCGTCTGTGGTCGTAGTCTGTGAGGTTCAGCGTGTTGATGATAATCTCACGCCGGCCTGTCAGCTGATGGACACAGGAGAAAAACAAAGAACAACCACTTTCACAGTGTAAGAACTCGTCCAGACGTCCTCCCTCTCCTCCTCAGGTTGGGATCCTCTCTCTCTCTCTCCCTCGCTCTCTGTGTTTGTCGGTGTCTCTCGCTCCTCCCTCTCCCCTGTCAGCCTGCTAAGTGGCTAGCTTGCAGCTTTGCCCTCGAACAAAGCTGTAGCGCCGCGCTCCACTTCACCGCTGCTTGTTCCAATCAATAATACATGCTTTAAGACGCAAAGAGCGGCCGGATCGCACCGCCGCCACTCAGCGTGTGTGAGAGAGAGAGAGAGAGAGAGAGAGAGAGAGAGAGAGAGAGAAAGAGAGAGAGAGTAGCCAGTTAAGAAAATGTCTCTTTATTTTCACACTTGAAGTGTGTGTTGCTGTGTGGATGAAGTTTGTACAGAAGTGAGTGTGTGCACATGACTAAGTTCTCAACATGAACACAGCAGGACATAAAGTTGGCTCGTTACTTGAAGGTTGCTGGTTTGGATCCTTCAGACTAGAAAAGGAAATTAAGGGAATGAGAAGAGCCACCTCCTCCTCCTCCTCCGCAGACTGAGAGGTCGAGGTTTCTACTTTCTTTAGTAGCTTTTGAAGTCGGGCTGCAGCCATCGATTACTCAAGTAATCGAGTATACAGATTATTTCATCAAGTAATCGGATAAGAAAGACTTTTGCGTGGTGCTTACTTACTTTTGAATATAATGATGCGCGTTCTTGAAACAAAGTACAGGAAGTTTATTCTGGATGTTTTGGTTTCCACAGGACCATTTAAAACAATGTCTAATGATTCCTTTAGAATTAAATTTTCACCTGCAAATGTTTTGTTGTTTTTAATATTTAAATTGCTCTTTATAAAATGTGTATCTGTGTACTGGACACAGGGCTCAGCTATAAAAGAGACCTGTTTGTCCTGCAGCTGTAGTTCCCTCCCCTGCCAGAGGGGGGAGCTGCTGGTCAGCTCAGGAGAGGCGGGGGCAGGATGCAGTTTGGAGAGTCCTGCTTTCAGCCTCCTCGTGAACACAGATCTGTCTCTCCCTGCTCACCTGTTTCCTTTGTGTGTGTGCACTCTACTTCTGCAGGTGTGTGTGTGCACGTCTGAATCCATTTCCTGCAGCGCACCATGACCGAAATAGACTGTTTCAGGACACACGCTGAGAGATGGAAGCGCCTTTGGCCATTTTACACTTTGCTGTGCCTCAGTGTGTGTGTGTGTGTGTGTGTTACCCTGTTCCCCATGTATTTCCTCCTGACAGTCGAAGCGGTGGGAGGTTAAATTGATGCTGAGGTCCAGGCAGAGGAAGTAGAAACTCTATCACACACACTTTCTCAGCCTGCGAGCAGCTGAAGAGAGCTTGTTATTGTGTGTCTTTAGATTTATTCAGTGAAGTAAAACCTTTATCGGGAATTGTTTTCTGATGTGGGATTCTGTGGCATAATCAGGACCAGAAAAGGTCTGTTTCTTACTACTTACTGTTGAAAGGTCGTAGTCAACATGCTTCGCCTCTCTTGCCAAATCCTCTTCTTGACCTGCCAGTTTGAAAGTTGGACTTAAGGGTGTTTTTTACTGGCCAGCAGTCAGAGTCTGGGAAAAGTAAATATTTTCATTTTGTATCTTTCTCACAAAGAAAAAATAATCTCCATGATAAATCAGTAAGTGTGCAACTACAGGTCCAGTGTGATATATTTAGGAGGATCTAGGGACAGAAATGCAATAGAAGATCCATAACTATGTTTTTCAGTGGTGTGTAAAGACGAACCCTTATGTTTTTATTACCCTACAATGAGACATTTCTGCCGACATAACCGTTAGACTCTCTTACATGGAAGTTGCCACGTTAAGAAGAACAATGTTAATAGTAGTAGTAGAAATGAAATTTGGACAAATGGAGGAACGCACGTATTATATAGCCGAAATAAAGTGTACATGCGACATAAAGAAGTATACAGAACTTTGATTTGTGGAAAATTTTACGTGTTGGATTTATAGATTTTCTAAACATATAATATGTAACGGTTAGGTTGGTGTCCATGTAGAGTGAACTAGACGTCTGCGTGTTGTTTATATGCTCTGGTAAAGTTAATCCATCACATCTTTGTAGTATGTTGATTCCACATTCAGACTTAAGAGCACATGAACACACATTGAAGTTGGAAGAACGACTTCCCAACTCGGGAAATGGGACCATCAGAGGAGCACTTGAATGCACCGTGAGCCACTAGTTGCAGTTCACAAACCTCACCTCTAGATGTCACTAAAACTTACGCACTGAACTTTTAACTTTTCCTCCACATACACGAATCATGCGTCCTTCATTAAGATTGTTACACTCACGGCCTTCATCCTCAACATATTTAACCACTCCAGAGGGTCAACACCACGCAGGAAGCTCTGGGTTTGAACAGTGAAGCCAGTGCTGAAGGACCTTAAACCTGCATTCTCTCTAACAGTCAGCAGGGGGCGACTCTACTGGCTGCAGAAAGAAGTGAGATTGGATAGAAGAGAAAATGAGGTTACGTTTCAGCTCATTTATTCCCTCAGTAAACACTTCCCTTATGAGTTTATGGTACAACAAGTCACATATGGACACTTGGTCTTTTTAGCGTCCTGGGTACACTTTTTGGATGTTAAGGGCTCTGCGGTCAAGTTAGCAACAATAAATATGCAACGTGCGGTGAAAATTTCTAAATGAAACTAGTGGTTAACGTTGTGGAACATTGCAAGTTTAGGAGATCATGGTTTGGCTTAAATTAACAACGTTACTTACCTCACTTAAGTTACATAATTTAAGTAACGTAACCCACGTAACTTAAATAAAAACATGCCAACTTTTTGTTTCAAACTGGAAACGGACACGGGTCTCCTGGGTGAAAGTCCAGTGTCTGGCCCACCATCCACAACAGCCACCTCCTTACTCTGACTTTACTGTTAAATATCCCACCTACCTTTAGCGTTGAAAAGTGACGCAAAGGGGATCCCCAGTGCTTTACAAAGCAACGCCAACAGGTCTATGGACCAAGCGTCCATATGTGACTTGGGAACGGGTTGGACAGGGCGTTTTATACACGTGCAGAGTGAGCACGTAAATCGTGAGCTTCGGCTTTACGTCGCAGATAATTTTCTAAAATGCTCCAGTGAGAGGAATCTTTGCACTTCATTCACAAGACTCTCAACTCTGCGTGTGTGTGTGTCGGCAACTCGTTCTCACTATCTGACTCGTCGCATATGGACTCATGGTCAAGACCCATCGGCGTCACTTTGCGACGCACTGGAGATCCCTATAGCGTCAGAGTTCAACGCAGCGGGGGAAGCCCTGTAGCGTCCGTTTGTGACGGTAAAGGCAGGTAAATGGTATTTAACAGAAAAGACTGAGTAAGGAGGTGGTTGGGGTGGACGGAGGGCCAGAACCCGAACTTTGAGTTGACGTAAGTGAGGTTAGTCAACTTACGTGTTAACTGACGTACGTAGTTATTTTAACCCAAACCATGATCTGTTCCTAACCCTAACCAAGTAACCCGACTTTAATATCGTGCTGTTTAAAAATGGCGATGTTTCAAAACGATTATTTTGAAAGTCTAACCGGACGTTGCATATTTGTTGTTGCTAAGAGTTGCTAACTTGACCGCGGAGCCCTAAACATCTAAAAATGACGCAAAAGGGCCTTGACCAAGCGCCAAGATGTGACGAGTCGGGCGTGTGAGTGTGTGTGTGTGTGTGTGTGTGTGTGTGTGTGTGTGTGTGTGTGTGTGTGTGTGTGTGTGTGTGTGTGTGTGGGGAACCTCACACTCATGTTGGTGACGGTTATCATGTGAAACCTGTGTGTGTATGAGAGAGAGAGAGAGAGAGAGAGAGAGGGGGGTAACACTGGCAGTGTCTCTCTGCCCTTGGCACTGCAGCAATGCTCTTGACATTCATGATGTAGAGACACACACACACGTGTTCACACACGTTCATATACACACTCAGACGCACACTTGCTCTCCTTTTATTCTTCTTCTTTGCTTAATTCGCTCACTCTCTTGACAGCCAGAGTCAAGTTTCTCAGCGACACACACACGTGCACACAAACACGCACGTGCACACTAACACACACGTGCACACGCCTGCTTCATTCTCACTCACACTCTCTTCACACTCTCCACCTCCCCTACGTATCCACTGCGGCAGTGTAGCTCCGTTGCCTTGGAAACCACTCATTCCCCCCCCACACACACACACTCTCACACACACACTCAGACACACACACACACACACTCAGACACACACACAGGAGCGCAGAGAGAGTGAGAGACAATGAGGAAGATCCGGCGTGGAGCAAAATAAATGGGGGCGAGAGAGCACAGAAGTTAATGTGATGAAGAGAGAGACAGAGCGAGAGAGAGGAGAGCAGCCAGGAGTAAGGAAGGAAAGGAGGTGAGGAAGGGAAGAGGATAGAGGGGAGATTAAACGAGTGGCAGGACCTCGTCTCCACAGGGAGGCTGCAACAGTGTGTGTGTGTGTTATTTAATGGGTGGGTGCGTGACTGCCATATGTGTTGCCTAAGGCCCAATATGATGGGGGGGGGTGTTAATGAGAGATGTAAGAGTAGGGAGGAAGGGAATAAGGGAGTAGGGGAGAGAC